TGTCAGTTTAAGAGGTAGACTGAAATAAACTTTAAACTTTTTCTATGTAAGCATACATCTGTCTCGTACATGATTTACTATTTTATACTGATGGAAGTGGCCTTAATCGTGGTAACACACTTAAGTCCACTGTTCTAACATTCAATCAGTCAAGATGTTTCGGATAACTGGAAGCTGGCAAACATCACTCAATCCTTAGACAAAACTAACCCAATGATCTTTGAAGCTGCCAGCTAGCAGTTCTCTTCTCAATACCTTTAGAGGTTATGAAATCTCTGGTTTATAACGGTCTACGTGACTAATTACTACCTAAAAATTTCTTTTTGCCCTGACAGCACGATTCTACAACCTAATCTGATGACTGTGGTAGATAAACCAACCACCATCCATGATCAGAACCTCTGATAGGGTCGATAACATTCCTTGTCAAGCTAATAGGCATTTTATTTATTTATTTGAACACATAAATATTGGTACAGGGGGGCACCAAATATATATGCGCCACCACTGATAGACTGGTCTAGATTATATCAGAATAAATCGATCATTACCTCAGTTTACAGAGTCTGAGCGGGATCCTACAGGGTCGTGCTAGGACAGCTTTTCTAATTGATTTACATAAATGACTCTACTCAGCAAGCATCCTACATGATATTACTTTTTCCGGACGATGTTGAGCTCCGAAAAGTTTGCAACCATGGTGTTGAGCTGGCACTTGAGGAATGTCTGACCCGACATTAAAATTGGGCTGGTAACAAAGGGCTTACTTTTAACACATTGACGTGTACGGACGTCCATCTGGGAAATGTTGCAAACTACACATGCGACTTGGTCAATTCCCTCTTGGATGTACAGAGGGTAAGAATACTCTGGGACGCATCCAAACGACAGTCACAAAATCAGTTTGAGCCTCCCAAGAAACACCTCAAGCCATGAGATCCTTACTCATTAAACTATAGGGGACTCTCGAACGATATATGGCATTTCGAACACTTCCAAGCATCCCATGAAATACTTCGAGCCTAGTACCAACACTAACCTTAGTGGAAATACCCAGAAACTTAGAGTACAACACAGTGAATTGGACTCCTTCCGAGTAGTAAGGTCTCGGAATTCGCTGAGGTGGTACAAGCAATTTTCCAGGAGTCCTGTAGGATAAAACTTGACATATTTTGAGGAACTCATGACAGCATTTTGTGCTAACTTATAAATACTTCACTTCTCTGTGTTTCATATACGTAGGTACACATCTGGAAGCACCGTTGATCAACCGTTACTAGGCACAGAATCCCGTTATGTAAAAGCCTCTTTCGCCCCTCTGGCAACCTTTTGAACCACTTTGATTGTGGTTACTAAGATTGTGGAAAATATCATTTAAGACGAACAACTTAACCACACACAAACACACGATTTGCCAACACTAGGGTGGCATAGATTTTAGACAACTACAGATATTCAAATCACACTGATCTTTACAGTCCTGTGACCATATAGAAAACCAGTCAGGTACTTATCGCTAACAAATTATTTGTTCAAAATATGTGTTGATGCTTACTTGTTATCAAGTGTGCCTAACATAGGATTTCAGCTTACTTCCGAAGTTTGATGTATACAGATATAAAAACACATGTAAATATGACGTGCGGCACGGTAGATGAGCTCGCGATTAAAGCTTTTCCTCGTTTTAATACGTGTGCGGAGATGCTAACACTTACCTTACTAACGGACCATGACATAAGGACCTTCGCATACGAAATTCCGCCAAAACCTCAAGGTCCATGCTCATTCACAATATTGATTTTAAGAAGGAAGTCCGAAAGATTGCCTAGATTTCGATACAATCAGTGGATTCTCTCCCGTAATCGAATTGGCAATCTACGTATATGGTCTTATTCTGTAATTGATGTACAAAATTGTCATCAGCTGTTTGATTCAAATGGTTCTGGACGGAAAAGAAGCTTTTGCTTAACGGTCTTCCGTATCTGATAACCGTAGATCACCGATGCCTCCAGATAGCAGACTCAGTATGTTTAGTGATAAAGCGGAAAACCATTAGTAAATCATGGTAAGATGTTGTATTTTGTCCTTAAGTTTGTCAAAAAGGGTAGTGATTTTGTACTTGTTGTGATTATCCTTACTTATGTGTAATTGTTGAATCAAAAGCTTCCTTGGTCTACTTTATATTAAAGTACTTTAGTTCTGGTTTGAAGTCTTGCTAAAGTTTGTCTTGTGGTACCCTTTTACTCATTGACTGACGCTTGTGTTCATATTGTGATCATATTATGTTTTAAGCCTTAAGCTGACTACAATGGTTGGTAGTACTCATAAATGTGGACAACCAAACTGTTTGTTTCCTGTGGAGGAAGGAATGAAGTGTGATGAGTGCAAAAAGTGGTTCCATAAGATAGGTACCTGTTTAAGTCCCACCGCATACAAAAGATGCTCGAAGCCTTACTCGCATTGGTTTTGCATGTTTTGCTGTGCAAACAAGGCGTTACTAATACACGAGGCTATGAGCCTATTGGCTTTGGCCTGTAAGAAGAATGATGTCGGTTGCGCTGATAGCACGAGCACTGACAGTGAAGAATGTGTCAGTGTAGTACGTGTTGTTACGAGAAGCCTCAAACACCCGACTCTGACGGAAAGGTGAAATCTCCTTTAACATTAACGAGGAGGGAAGCACCATCTGACATTGACGTTGGTGATCATGCACCCCTAGTGGGAATTAAAGATATCTGACATTTGCTTTGTTGATAACTACGTTAGGTGCTACCCATGCAGAATAAAAATGCAGGCGTGATAACTCCTTGTAGTTGAAGGCGACCGTGTTATTCATCAACTTCTGGTAACGCTACATATAAGACTCGTCTCTTTGGACGGAAAACAGGTTAAACCCCTTGCTTCAACTAAAGGGTTGCTTTCGTAGCAGAGCACCGACCGAAAACAGGCTGGAAAAATGCTTGAAAACTCCACCATCAGCTTCGTCGTTTATGCTTCAGGTTTACGTGTTTGTCTTATTAGATAATATGTGGCAGACGTCAGCCAGCTGAAGCTGGTCGAATTAATATAAACCGTTATGTGTCATATCCCAGTAAACGTTGGTTCACGATAAGACAGTTTGCAATCTAGTTGTCTTAATAAACTCAGCTAATTACTGCATACAGAGAAGGGCTTCTGTATTGTCGGCTCCATGCGCGGGCTTCCCATTTCGATCTGAGATTTCCGTGAGAAATGGTAGTGTCTGACGCAGTATCTATTTGCAGTTTAAATGGATGCTCATTAATATTGAGTAATGGATTTTCTCTTACCTTGATTGAGCTTTGATAGGACGCTTATACTTGTTAGCTTTATTTACTTACGCCTATTGTCCGTCATCGAGGAGCATAGGCCGCCCGTCAGCACTCTCTCCAACTTTGTCCTGCGCAATGTATATTCCACAAGCACACAGAAGCATGAACACGCAAGCACACAACTCAAACGTACATGTACAGTACAAAAGTGTTTTTAAGAGACGTGAAAAATAGCATATTAAAAGTGAGAAAGAACCAGTGACATTTAAGGTCTTTTCAACCGGGAAATACAAGCTGAATATAAAAGTAGGCTCTTTTGGTGTGAAAATGAGAAACTTAAATTTGCAAAACAGAATTAGGAATTAGACGATTGCCAAGTGATTTATGAGGATCTAGCTTCCCTAACAAGATTCAAGAGGTGTTTTATGAATGTTCACACTTTAATACCATAGCATACGTCTTCAAGTTTAGGGTTTTCCAGAATTCTTTTAATTGAGTCTAGAGAATGTAAAAGTTTGAGAGATACAAATCATATTGGGCTAGTACTCCCAATTTGTAAGGCAGGTGTTAAAAAAACACCGAGAATGCAGCTAATTGGTTGTCAATTGTTAAAATAACTGTCTCGTAACATCTGGTGTCTGATATAGGTTGCACAAAGTAAGTAATCCACCACTGAGAGATACAATGCATATTGGAAGAATCATTACGAAGAGGCTTATAAGTTTATAGGAATTTTAGCAGATTAAAGAAGTATATCTTTCTTTTAGCACCCAATATATATGAATTGACTTGTAAAAATGCAGTACAAATGATTACTTTGGTTTCAAATCTAAAACCCTAAGATACTCTGAATAGAATTTTTTTTTAAAGAAAAATTTGATTGTTATTTAGTAATATACAACTGCAGGATATGATCATTCAATTCCCTATAGTTTATTTTAATTTTATTCAAAACTTATATGAAATTATGTTTAGATTTGATTTCACATGTTTTCAACTACCGATACGTCTTATTTGATGTAATTTTATGAAATTTTAAAATTACCGGTTATATACATTAAACCAAAAGTACAATTCCATATTATGGAATGTACAAAATGCTTTTTTTTTCTTTTTACTATTCCTATGAACTATTGGTTACTCTTAAAAATAATAATTCCTAAACGTAACTTGAGTGCATGAATCTTTGTGTGTGTGTGTGTGTATGTATGTATGTATGTATGTATATGTGTATGTGTATGTGTGGGGGTGGGTAGGTGCATAGTTTCAAGTTTAAATGATCTAGTTGAACCAATTAACCATTAGATCACAATATGACACATATATATATATATATATATATATATATATATATATATATATATATATATATATATATATATGAATAAACTATTAAATTCTTTTCACACTATTTTCTTTAACTTACATATCCATTGTAATAGCACTTCTATTTCGTTGATTGTTTTACTGTAAGAATATATTATTATTCCTTATTATCTTACAGTTATTAATATACATTCACAAGGATTCAATCAGATGTATTTCGTCACTACAAATCGTGTATGACTTCTTCATATCATCAAGTTCTTGGAATTCTGTCAAATGAATAATATTCTTATTCAAGTACATCATTTGTGAAATGATTTCTTTTATAGAAAATCCATAAAATAGATTATATATTTATATATAGATATAGATAGATATATAAACATGAAAGATAATAATTGTACAAATAATGATCATTTTAATGATTGTTATCACGATCTATCAACATCCATGGAAGGAATTCCATCAAATCATTCAAACAAATGTCAGCATACTACTACTACTACTACTGCTACCAATACTACTACTACTACTACTACTACTACTACTAGTACTACTACTACTACTACTACTAGTACTACTACTACTAATAATAATAATAGTATAATAGGAGATATAAACCATACAAATAATAATGAATTAGATATAATGAAACGATCTAATTCATGTAAATATAATTCATTTAATAATTGTAAATCTTCATCATTGAAAAGATCATTTCCATGTGATACATTATCATATCATCATATTGTTTGGAAACCAGTATCAACATTCATTACAAATTTACAATCAAAATTATTAAATCATTCAAATAATATAAAATCGGAACAAACAAATCAATTTAATAAAACAAAATCTAATATAAATCATTTTGGACGATTTAATATTGGTTGTCCATCTGGATGTAATTCCTCAATTGCTGATATGACAATAAATGAAGATTATCAATTCTATAAAGATATAATCCAATCATCATCATCATCATCAGAATTATTAAATAATCAACAAGCTAATATCCAAACTGAATTGAATCCATTGAAATCTCTTCAATATATGGAATATGATCATTTATCTAAAATATCTACTGATACATCATTTAATGCATCAATACTTGTCAAGATTAATGTTAGCGGTACAATATTTCATGTAAGACATAGTACATTAAAACGTGATCCATTTGTTTATGGTAAAATGTTAGAAGATGCTATATGGATATCAAAAACAAAAGAATATTATTTTGAAAGAGATCCAGTAGTATTTCGTTTTATATTATGTTATTTAAGAAGAGGTGAATTACATTTACCACATGATATGTGTGGTCCATTAGTTGAAAAAGAATTAGATGATTGGGGTATAGCATTAGGTTTAGATATACAAAGATGTTGTTTAGGTCCAGTTATGGAAAGTAAATCAAAATTAGAATCATTACATAGATTTGAAGAGAAATTAGAACCAGAAGCTGTACAACCAGATTATTGGATTCAGTAAGTAGATTAATTCATTTAATTATTTTATCATTAATCAATTATTATTATTATTATTATTATTATTATTATTATTATTATTCTAAGCTTATCAATTATTGATTATCAATGAAATGTTTAATGTTAATATTGTCACCAAGTTTGTGATTACTACATTGTTGTTATTTAATACTAGTCCTAGTACTACTACTACTACTACTACTACTACACCTACGACTACTACTACTACTACTACTACTACGACGACGACGACTACTACTACTACTACTACGACTACGACTACTGTTACTAGTACTACTGGTAGTAGTAATAATAATTATCAATCTTATCATTCCTTCTACCGTAACCGTATGTCAATCAGTCAGTCAGTAACAACTTAGAACTTCGTACGTACGTGTGTATATCAGTGTGTACATCCGTATGTATCTACACATGTTTCAGATTCTTTATAACTTCATAGTTTCTTACTTAATGTGTTTTATTTTTTTATTAACGGAACATCCCTGAATGTAGGAATCAACTATTATTACTATTATTGTTATTATTCTTCATTGGTGATCTAAATAATTTAATACACACATAATCATATTAGTAAAATGATTTGATTTATTTATGTAAATCAGTAGGTAATTGAAAAAACCTAAGAATAGTTAAGATGAAATGAATTCACTTCATTCTACAATGTTACTTTACAATGGTTTATTAAAGTTTTGAATTATATAAAATAATATTATATAAATTAGTAGTTCAAGACAATACTAGGTTGTAGATACTTACTTTCTTACTAACTAATTACTTACGCCTGTTACTCACAATAGAGCATAGACCACTGATCAGCATTCGCCATCCCACTTTGTCTTGGGCCTTCCTCTCATGTCTATCTCCATTTCTTGGTGTAATGTGTTCTTTGGTCTTCCTCTTCTTCTTTGGCCTTGAGGATTCTATGTGAGATCTTGCCTTGTGTTGCAGTTGAGTGCTTCCCTGAATGTGTGTCCTACTTACTTTTAGAGCTTCTTCGTGATTTCTTCCTCCGTTGGGATTTGGTTTATTCTCTCCTACGGTAGTTTGTTGCTGATATTGTCTAGCAAACGGATCCGAAGTATTTTGCATAGACAACTGTTAAGAAACACATATATGTTTTGGATGATGGTTTTTGTAGTTTTTTAGGTTTCCGCCCCATACAGTAGAACTGCTTTGACATTTGTATTAAAAATCGTGATTTTAATGTTAGTTCACAATTCTCTTGAGTTCCAGATGTTGCTCTTTCTTTACCGATCCGCGCAGGTATATTCAAGTAATGAGCCCCGAAGTAGAATAAAACGCGCGTGCAGAAACCCGTCAGCAGCTATTAAATTACTTTACTAAAAATATTGAAGTAATCCACTTAGGATGCATATTTACGAGAACAAACTCATAAGCTGAACCCCTTACCAACAATAATTGGAAGATTCAAAGTTATACATAAAACAACATAAATGTCTTCGACAAAGTTGCTAATTGTACACCCACTCCCCTTTTATTCGGCGTCGGGGCCAGTAGTAGCTTTTGGATGACTCCAAGTTGAGCTATTTAACACTAACTTTCATAAAACTATTCAGTGTTCACTTCGATGTATTTCAATAAAAATATTGATATCAATGGTTAAGATCATAAGTCAGTCGAAGTTAGATCACCATGGAAAACCTGTAATGAATAACTTCATTAGATTGAATTGATTCATTTCAAATGAACTATTTGGTAGTAATTCACTCAATTGCAGTGTTTGAACTATCCGTTAACATCGTTTGATAGTAATAAATAATACTGAGTATTCTTTTAGAAGAGTAGGAGGACGTCGTAGTAGTCTAGATGGTGGGTATTCTTTCAGGAGACCGAAGGTCTTAAGTTTAAATCCTCTCTTCCAATAACACATTTTAGAAGAGATTAATATTACTATTTATTCAACTTTAATATATTTAATAGTTAAATTCATGAGTGAATAAAAGCTAAACTACCATGGAAAACCTGGAAGCACTGGACGGCCAGTAAGACCTAGTATAGGACTCTTCAACAGATGATAAATGTTGAATATGTATATAAATATAATAATGTCTATATATTTTGTAGAAACCAATAAATGCTAATTTATAGATTGTATATAATAGACTCTTTCTAGGTTGTAGACATTCGCATTATGAGAGACACGTTGGCTGATATTATAAATACAAGAACACTGAACATCACAGTGTGAATTTTGAGATGGTGGAGAAGATTTGTAGCTCAGGTGAATGATTTTGATGAAGTTTTGTTCTCTGACCTGGATGGTTTGGTTATAGAGCTTTCATCATTCTTCTGAACGACATCATCAGCAGTACAAACTTCAGATAGAAGTGAAGTGTCCAAATTTCTCCATATGTGTTTCACAGCTTGTCCTGTACACCTCGATATTGATTGGTTCTTCTTTGTTTTGGTTGTGTCTCCCATCGGTTTGATTTTTGTTCCTATGTTTGTGTATGGTTTTCCTGATTTGGATGATAAATTAGATCGATTTCAATGTGTTTGTTGATTGCTGAGTGACCTTAGTGCCAGGCTTCTAAAAATTCTGTGATGTTTTTAGAATTTCCTCTATTCAAGATTTCCACATTTTTCCAATCGAATGAGTGTCCGCAGTTGTCCACATGTATTGATTGATATCATGGCGTTTGACTACTAATTGATGTTCATGTAGACTTAATTGAAGAGGGAGTCCAGTTTGTCTGACAAAGCGGACTCCATCAAAAACAGTGTGAATTCATTAGTTTTATGGATTTTCTTGAGCTACTTACATCAGTGAGAAAATAAGGTTAACTTTTTTCAAATCAGCCTACATACTTTATATTATATAAATGAGTAATAATAATAATAATAATAATAATAATAATAATAATAAGAGAATGAATATGGGGGAATGAAAACATCTTTTGCTTTTCTTTATTAATAGTATATAGAGTGTGTATATTGACCTTAAAGAACTTACTTTAGTGTTTGAATGTTGTAAGCACCTGAATTGAATTCATACAATTCATGAATTCATATTAATCTAACATGTTATTTATTCTTGTTTTATCAATATAGAGTTGTGAAGATTGTTGAGTTTTAATTGAGATCATAAACTACTGAAAACCTGAAAGCACTGGATATTCTCTTCGTCCCAGTTTAAGATTCCTCAGCAGTGCACATTCACAATCATACATGTGAAATTCGAAACCCGGAACCATTCGTTTTGTGCGGACTTCAATGCTTTCGGATTTTAATTGGTGGTCTAATATTGGTCGATTCATGAACTCAATTAAAACTCAACAATCTTCAAAACCCTTTATTGATAATTATCATGTGTTCACTGGTGACTAGCTTTGAGAGGAACTTCTTGGAGTTCTAGTGAGAAGATGTGACAAGTGGAGTTCAAACCTGTTGAGTGTGAGGCAGTTACCCACCGAAGACAATAAAAGATGCAGACTACTTGGTTGGGTTCTGCGTAACTATCGTCAGTCAGTCAGTAACAACGTGGAACTTCGTACGTACGTACATCAGTTCGAGTTGCCATACCACATTAGCACAGAGATTCAGTTATCGATTCAAATCCCACAGTGGTAGAGGTAGTGAAAGTATAAGTAGTGATAGGGAACATTAGGATTTGATGATGTTATTCAAGGAGTATAGTCCAGTGGAATAGATTCGGAAAAAATATAAAGGACATGACGAATTCAGAAGATTAGAGTTTGAGAGAACACAAAGAGTGGATGCACCTGCGCCATTGCAAACGATTTTGAGCCATGTCATTCAAGGTCTCTAACCATCGGTCGCTATCATCTCGCGGACCCCAACCAGGTAGTCTACATCTACCAACATGACTCACTCAGTCCACTTGTCAGTGACTTCATGGATTTGTGCCATGTTTTGGTCTGGTCACCCCTAGCTTTCTTCCAACCTACTCCTACACCATAAAACATCGCACGTCGGGGTAGTCGGTGATCGGGCATACGTAACACGTGTCCCAGCCATCTCAACTGATGGCGTAACTATCGTAACCAGTAGTGATTTGAGACTATGGGTGATATGGATCAGAATCAATCACAATAGCGTAGGTTTGCACATTATCTGTCTTTCCCTTAACTATAAGATTAAAGTTACTTTGAAATTACTTTCTATGTACTAATTCTTTCTCCTTATATCATATTGTTATATACAATCCTTGTTTTCTTCTTATCTATTACTACCAGTGAAGTAACTGCTTCTATGAATTTGGTGTTTATCTTGTTATGCTAATGTAATATAGCAATTTATATTGATGTATACCTATATGTGACTGATCCTACATTGTATATAATTGACAAACTGAGTAAAAGCATTCAATGTAATGAACATTGCAATATGTTATTCCTTCATCTAATAAGATTTAAATATTACAACGTAGTATGTTCGTTGATTTGTATGTTATACATTGAACAATTCAAAATAAACAAATATGAATTCTAAGTTCAATGTCTTATTCTCTCATATCACTTGAATCTAATACCTTAGCCGTATACTTTGAATCCTTTATTTTGTTATTCCTGTCGTTGTTGTTGAGTGATATACAATACATGAATAACTTATCTTTAACATGTTTTCATGTTGATTGTTTAAATTTATGATTTAGTTAAGATAATACAATCATAGTTAAGCGCTTTCGGTCGAGACTGATAGGTCATGAGTTCGAATCTCACAGGGAGTGTGATTGTGGATGCACACTGCTGACAATTCCTACAGTAGGATGAAACAACCGTCCAATACTTACAGATTTTTCATAGTCGTGATCTAGCTACAATTCACTCATGATCTTAATCATTGAAATGACTATATTATGTACAAATAACCTTTCAGATAATATTCTATTCCGTTTTAAACAGAAAAAAAATCACTTTATGAAATCATATACTCAACATGTAAAACGAACCGCCACTTTTTTTGTTTCCAACACTCATGTATATGATGAGTGTATG